GGGCTGTTTCTGCGCCGTGCCGGAGGAATTTTACTGCGAAGTTTTGCTCCTGGACGAATCCAAGTTAACCCTCACCACTCAGCAGCAGGGCATCAAGGTAGGGGTCGGGGCGCGTACCAGGGTCGGGGGCCGCGGCTTTGTCTGAGGGCTGTCCCGGGTCCGGGCCGGCGGCTGCGTGGCTGCGCCTTGGAAGGGACATCCGACTGTCCCTGCGCGCGGACAGGCTGGACGGGTCAGGTTGGGCCGAGGTCCCTTCTAGGGAAAAAGAAGTTTGACGTTTCGAAGGCGACAGGGCGCACCAGCCTCCCAAATTGCAGCCCGCGCTCCCGAAAGAGACTAGACCCCTTCCCAGCGCAGGTTTCCTCCCAAGCGTCTACCCCCCCCCCCCCCCAATAGCTTCCAGAGGGGCTCAGACCTGAACCTCCACGCTGCACTCGCCCCGGGGAAGGCATGGTTCCCCGATTTTGCTGAAGGCGTTTTCTCGAGAGCGTCGGTGTGGAGTAAACTGTTACAGCCATTCACTCTTGAAACACATTAATTTGGGGCGTTGAGACCGTGTTGCCTGGGCTTGCAGTTGGGACTGAAAGTAATTTTTCCCTTTCTACCGCAAACAAGCTTGATAAGCATATTTAAGTAAGCATCTCTCAAAGCGTCTAGTGAGAACTTTGCTCCGGTTTGTAGGTCGTTAAAATGCAATTATTCCTGTTAACTTCGAGAAACCAAACCAGAAGGCCGCAGCTCGCAGAGGGCCACTTCCTTAACTGTGCTGAGAACTGTACTTTTGTTTATGTTGACGACGGGACAGATGCGCCTGCGCGCTTCATTTGCTCTTGCAACAATGTAACTACCTAGAGGTTGGACTCCGCGGCGTCTGGTTATTTTGCTCCCCCTTCTCCAGGCGTTGTAAGTCGCTCAGGCTTTTCAGATAACGCGGCAGCTGAGGCTGGTGCCCTCAGTCGGGCGCCTGGGAATGGTGATCCGGCTGGCTGGCGAGTGTCCTCTTCTAGCCTGGCTGCCTGGCAGGTTAACCCCATGGGCCAGACCCTGGGCATTTCCTGTGTGAACCTGTGTAACCTGACACAGGCCAGCTAACTGCTCCCCGCGCGTTTCCGCGCTGATGTTCCCAAGCCTGGAGTGGAGGGTTCTCATTCAGAGGTGTAATTCTTTTGTGCAGGGGGGCAAACATGATCAGTGAAAACTACAGAACTGTTAACCCTTTTCTTTTTCCATCTTATTTCCCCAGTCATTATAATAAGCAAAATCCAATCAGATTCATTTCAGATACTTTTTTCTTAAGACCAATACAATAGACTGGTTTGGAGGGAGGGTGTTCATGTTGTATTTTTAACTTTCCGTTGTGTTCCCAAACACCCTGGGCCCACCCACCAATGGAATCAGGAAAATAATTTACAACTGCACTGTAACCCTTGAATCACTATGAATAGAACGAGCAAAAATCGAGATGGTAGTCATCCTGAGTTAGGGTAAGGCACAGACTGGCTGAGGAGTGGGGGTAGACACTGAGGGTCTGACACCCAGACAACAAAGACAGCTTTCTGAAGTGCAGGATCTAAGTGCATCTGGAGGCTAGTCTCCTGAGTGAGCTTCCTACTTAATCAAGAAAGCCCTGCCCTGTCAGCTGTGGAATGTGCATCCTGTCACCAGAGCAGCCGAGACTTGGGGTCAGATGGAATAATTGTCAGAGAAGCGCGAATCGGAAATCCCGATCTTAATTATCCTTGATGACGCAGTGGTGCTTGTCTTACAGATAGGCTCAGACTGGCTGGTGAGGGGAAGGAGCAGCAACTTTGTATGCTGTGGTCTGGATATATCCCTTACCTAAACTAGTTCAAGCAGGCTTCTGCTGGAAATGATTTTACAACAGGCGTGGCCTCTTCCCATGTCACAAAAGCTGGTTGGGAGACTAGCAGTTATGTCACTGTACTCCCATGTAGTCCACCGCGGTTCGAGTCCAGACCCCATGGACTCACACCAGGCGCGTGTACGTGAGTGCCCAAGATCCCGAGAGGAGAATGGAGAAGGGATTGCGCCGTGGCCGTTCCCCCTGGGGGGGTGATTTCTTGCTTTCTGTCTCTCTATCTCTCTCTGCCTTTCTGGCGAGTGCACGCGCTCTATAGCAAAAACCTCTCCAAAATTAAAAAAAAAAAAGAAAATGGAAAATGGAAAAGCTGACCACAGTCGTTGTGGTGGCCACATGTACAACACGAGCGTCTGCTGGGGTTGACCGCGTGCTCTGTGAAGACCTAGCTACACGCAAATGCACATGCTAAGCACCTTTCTGTGGTTATGTATCAGACGATTGTGTATTTATAAATGGTATAATGGATGAAAACGCTGGTATTCAAATATTGCCTAAGCATGTGTGTATTACCCTTTTTTTTTTAAAAAAAAAAGAATGATTTACTTTACATAATTTTATTTACTATTATTCTTTGACCAGGAAGAAGGAGAGGGAGAGGGAGGGAGGGTGAGAAAGCAAGCCACCAGGTCTGAGGCCTAACTGTGGCCAGCCACGTGGGAATCCAGCACCTTCACCACCACGCCCCCTGCCAGGCGCAGGATGTTATTTTGACCTGCTTGACGTTTCCTCCGAGTTTTCCCTTTTTATATGGTAGGGCAGGTGCCACAAACGTGGATTTCAGAAAGTAGATAAAATTAACTCCTACTTTGTAAATGAACAGGTAGACAATGTCTTTGAAGTTCAGAGCCAATAGCTACTATCATAGTATTTTCCCCTGGTATACTGCCTCGATAGTTTTGTTTTTGCCATAGGGTACGTGCGTGCACCGGAGAGACAGAGACAGTGAGAGGGAACGTGAGAACCCACCCCCGAGGGAGAATGGCCACAGCACAACCCTTCTCCTCCATTTTCCGCTCAGGACTTTGGGCATACACATACACGGGCCTGGTGTAAGTTTCAGGTCACTGGATCTGGGATTCAAACCACGGTCGGCCACGCGGGAGTCCAGCACCTTAACCATTATGCCACCTGCTGGCCACTCGATAGTTTCGATGACCACAAAGTAAAAAAGTTGAGTAGGCGACTTCCGGCAGTCTATTTTCCCCTGAAATTAAACTGAAAACGTCTCTTGTCTTTTCTGTTTTGAAAGTGTTTCCTATGATTTATTTTGTTAAGACCCTTTTTCCAATTCTGGCTCAAATGAAATGAAGAGCTAATTTTGTTGTTGAAACTATTCACATAGGGACCAGCAGGTGGAGTAATGGTTACGTTGCCGGATTCCCACCTCGTTGACGGTGGTTCGAGTGCCAGACCTGGCAGCTTAAAACTCATGCCGGGTGTGTGTGCGAACGTGCCCAAAATCCTGAGGGGAGAATGGAGGAGAAGGGATTGTGGCGTGGCCATCCCCCAGCAGGTGATTTCTCACTTTCTGTCTCTCTCTCTCTGTGTGTCTCAGCGAGTGCATGTGCCCTATAGCAAAAAGCTCTCTTGGAAAAAAAAAAAAATACTGGTCTTAGAAAGGATCTTACTATTTTTTAAAACGTCACTTCCAAATGCACCTGGAGGGCCGGCCAGTGGTGTGGTGGTTGAGGTGGCTGGGTCCCACACGACTGACCGCAGGGTCGAGTCTCAACCCTGCAGCTTGGGAAACATGATGGGCGCTGTGCCCCAGATCCCAAAAGGTGGGGAGATGGAGGAGAGGGGAAAACTGAGCTTTTCTTGTGCCAAGTTGAAAACCACTCTTCATATGTGTTCAGGTACTAAATTACCTGGTTTTGTTTTCTTTCTTATTTCTATTTAAGTGTTTTCCATAGGGTGCATGTGCTCACAGAGACAGAGAGAGAAAGTGAGAAACCCTAAGCCTCCGGGGTGTGTGTGGGGGAAGGCCTACAGTCCCTCTCCTCCAGTCTCCTCCTGGGATTTCATGTGTACACACACAAATGCTTGGTGTGAGTCTCAAGCCACCGGGCCTGGGACTCGAACTGCAGTTGACCCATGTGGGAGTCCAGCACCTTAACCACCGTGCCACCTGCAGGCCCCCATGAAGTGATATTCTACAACTTAGATCACAATTTTTCTTCTACTTTAGAAAACAAATGCATCTCCATGGGAAGCATTTCAGTCTGGAGACAGCCTTTCACAGGTTGTATGTTAAGAAAGACATCGTTTAAAAATGATTGTGTGCTTAAAAAATAATTGGGAAAGAGAAAACAGTAAGTTCACATCCACTTCATGTTACGTCCAGTAGGTGTCTGCCCTCCTCTGTCTCCCGCAGTTCCCCAGCCCTGTGCAGTCTGAGGGCCCACACCCGTGCGGGCCCACCCAAGGGTGCTGGTGGGGCCTGAGCCCCACAGGGCTTGTAGCTGTTTTCTCCTGCCGTCTCTGTTGTTTATGCAAGTAAGAATTTCGAGTCCTGTTTGTCGTAGGAATGTTTGTTAAGTCCTTTGTAGGGTTCTGTGTTGGGAAGTAGAAATCTTTTTGTTTTAGAAAGGAAACTGTGACTGTGGCTCACTTTATATATTGTCCTGTGGTTAGCAGCAGACTTTCCAGGAAGACACCACACGTGCGATGTAAACTCTGTCCTCGGGTTGCTGCGGCCAAGGGGACCCTGACTGGTGTGTTCACCTCAGCACGGTTAGTCCCCTGGGCGAGCGCCTGCTCGCGTTCCCCTCGATGTTGACGGACTTTCTGAGGCCAGTGGGGAACAAGATGGAAATTCTGTGAGCTCTCGTAGTGGCTCCGCGATCTACCGTGTGATGTACCGGGGGAGTGTCCAGTCCGCACATGAACTGATACGTAGCATTATCTCCAGTCGTTCTGTAGTTCCTGAACGGATATTTTGAGCCACTTTTGATGTTTATTCAGAAATTCCCGAGATTACCAGTTGGTGTAATGGCTATGTTGCTAGACTCCCATGTAGTCGAACGTGGTTCGAGCCCTGGACCCGGTGGCTTAAACTCGCGTTGGGCGCTTGTGCGTGTGTGCCCAAGATCCCGAGAGGAGAATGGAGGAGAAGGGATTGTGGCGTGACCATCCCCCCTTGGGGGTAATTTCTCGCTTTCTATCTTTCTGTCTCTGTCTTTCTGGCGAGCGCATGTGCCCTATAGCAAAAACCT